TAACCACATCACACCCTGACTAAGTAACAATACCACACCCTGGCTAAGTAACCACAGCCCACCCTATCTTAGTAACCACACCACACCCTGGCTAGGTAACCACACCACACCCTGGCTAAGTAACCACACCACACCCTGGCTAGGTAACCACACCACACCCTGGCTAAGTAACCACACCACACCCTGGCTAAGTAACCCCAGCACACCCTGGCTAAGTAACCACACCACACCCTGGCTAAGTAATTACAGCACACCCTGGCTAAGTAACCATACCACACCCTGGCTAAGTAACCACACCACACCCTGGCTAAGTAACCACAGCACACCCTGGCTAGGTAACCACAGCACACCCTGGCTAAGTAACCACACCACACCCTGGCTAAGTAACCCCAGCACACCCTGGCTAAGTAACCACACCACACCTTACTAGGTAACCACTGTACACCCTGGCTAAGTAACCACAGCACACCCTGGCTAAGTAACCCCAGCACACCCTGGCTAAGTAAACCCAGCACACCCTGGCTAAGTAAACCCAGCACACCCTGGCTAAGTAACCACAGCACACCCTGACTAGGTATCCCCAGCACACCCTGGCTAAGTAGCCACAGCACACCCTGCTAAGTAATTACAGCACACCCTGGCTAAGTAACCACACCACACCCTGGCTAAGTAACCCCAGAACACTCTCGCTAAGTAACCACAGCACACCCTGCTAAGTAATTACAGCACACTCTGGCTAAGTAACCCCAGCACACCCTGGCTAAGTAAACCCAGCACACCTTACTAGGTAACCACTGTACACCCTGGCTAAGTAACCACAGCACACCCTGGCTAAGTAACCACACCACACCCTGGCTAAGTAACTAGGGAAATTCATGAATTATCTGCTGGATATAAATTCAGACATGTCCCCACTAAAGACAATCCTGCAGATTACTTATCTCGAGGGTTAACATTAAAACAACTAATCAAGTCTTCGATGTGGTTCAATGGACCTTCATGGCTTGTTAGTGGTCAGTGGCCCAAACAGAAGCCACAAGTCATAGTGACCAGTATCACTACTCCCATGAAAGAACCAAAATCTCACCGCATCTCAGCTATTAATCCTCACAATTATTCTAACTTGAGTAAGTTATTGAGAGTGACAGCACATGTGTTTGACTTTCTTGCTAAGATAGGAATCAGACATAAGTTTCCCAATCCTATCCTGTACTGGATCAAACGTGCACAACAAGAGACATATGGAAGTGAATATGAAAATCTTCCAGATAAATTAACCAAGTCTCTAGGTGTCTGGTATGATACCAACACTCATAATATACTAAGGTGTGGAGGACGTTTGCTTCATGCAAAAATTGGTTTGGATACAAAGAATCCGATCCTTCTACCACGTCACCACATTATTACAAAACTTCTAGTTTTACATCACCATCAATATGGTACTTTGCATGGTGGAGTGTTAGACACTCTCACCGACCTCAGACAAGGGTCGTCAAACTGTCAAATCAATCATTAAGTTCTGTGTACTCTGCAAAAGATACGACGCTCGAGTGTGTCCTTACCCAGGACCTCCACCACTCCCTAAGGAGAGAGTAGTTCATCTTCGTCCCTTTGAGACCACTGGTGTCGATTACACAGGAGCCTTGCTTCTCACTGGCAATCCAGATAAGATACCAGTGAAAGCTTATATTTGCCTCTTCGCGTGTGCTACCACACGAGGCGTACATCTAGAAGTGACTTCTGACATGAGTGCCGAAGCCTTCATCCAAGCTTTTCGTAGATTTCCAGCTCGCAGATCCTGTCCCAAACTAAAAATATTTGATAATGGTTCAAATTTTGTGGCAGGAGAAGCCTGCCTACAAGAGATAAGGGAATCATCCAGAAGTGCAGTCTGTCGTGCAGAGATGACAATGCCACTGAAAATTTATTGCTCCCAGAGCCCCCTGGCAAGGTGAGTTCTACGAACGTATGATAGGGACTGTCAAGAAATGTTTAAGGAAGACCTTGCATCGACATAAAATTAGTTACTCCGAACTCCAAATACTTGTCGTGGAAATTGAGGCGCGAGTCAACAATCGCCCATTAACTTACCTATCAGATGATTTCTCACAGAGAGAGCCTCTGAGTCCCTCACATTCAATACATGGAGGCCTGCTGAGCCCTCTGATACCTTTGGCAGAAGAGGACCCTGTCGACCCTTCCCATGTAACCAGGAGTGACTTAGTAGAAAGTTACCAACATCTCTCGAGAGAAATTGAAAGGTGGAATGAGGTGTGGACTCGAGAGTACCTCACAGCTCTACGAGAGTACCATTATGGAGCTTCGAGCCCCTATAATAAAGTTCAACTCAAACCAGGAGACCTAGTATTGGTTGACAGTGATGGACCAAGGTCAGAATGGCCTATAGGCAAAATTGTTGCTATCCACCCAGATCACCAAGGCATCCTGAGAGTAGTACGGGTTTTGTGCCGAGGCACTACTACCCTAAAAACATTAGAGAAGTTGGTACCTCTCGAATTAGCAGAACGAGAGTGTTTATCAGAACCAGCTTCACCAACAGTTTCCGAGGACAACAATTCTGATCCACCGAGCACCCGCCCCACTAGAGCAGCTGCTCAACAATGCAAACGGAAACTACAAGTCTATTATAGCTCTGACTAAGAGCAAATAATTTCCCATCCAATTTGAGTAATCATGATGATGCTGTGTTGTGATGTCAAGTAACAAATCAGTTACAAGTCACAATGACCCAAGACATTCACCTCACAGTGGATTCTCAGTTACTTTAAATTGTATGATTTAATTCTTAATTTGTTTGGGTAGGCTATCAACTATAACATTATTTCATCTAGAGCATCTATGAGTTTGCGAAACTTTAAGACTTAGTAACATAAACGGTACATGTCATAGCGACACCAGTCACAGAGTACATTGTAGGCTTTAATAGTCATTAACTTTAGATGATTCACAATTCCATGTTTTCATTTAACATGAGTTCCTTTACAAGACTTAAATTCTTGTATGTCCTTGACAATTACGGGACATCCGTTATGTGTGTACTAACGTACTAACATACTAACCTTAATACTAACTTCGGGATAGGTACGTCAGTACTCAACATTGCACTGCGACCCGAGTTTTCTCCCCCCGGAGTTATGTTGGAAATTTCCAACACTAATAAACTACTATTGTATTATAATACATCATCATTATATACTAACTACAGTAGTTATTAATCTCACTAACGGTAGTGTCAACATAAATTAAACCATTTCATCTGCGTATTAGTGCTAGAATTCTCATGAAATCGAGTAGCAACATTACGTCAGAATAAGTCTAGTTAGACACGTTTATTACCAATGTGTTAGAGAATTGAATGTGGTTCTCTAAAATTATCAGTATTCCGTGTAATAATTACCTACGGATAATATAACTCCCAATAATCCAAAACCGAGAGTTATTAACTGAAATTATTATCAAGTAGCAGTTTTATCTGTTACGTGCGAATGCCATGGAGAGAATAAAATCTTCTTCATTTCTCGTTTAACACCATTAAACGAGAATATAATAATATTTAAGTCCCTATAATTGCAACCCAGTTCTCATTAACGTATTACATCCATAATTGAGCGGAAAAGAATTATTCGTGATTAATAATTTCTGTGGTGAATGCAAGAGACGGGTTAAGGGAAGGCGGAGACGCCATTGGACACAAGGCATCCCTGGTGTGAAGAGTGGCGAGACACGTGGTAGTGACTGGGGAGTTTTTATCGACAAGAATTACATTGATACCCGGTTAACAGTTAACAATTACTTATCCACGTGTTCTATAGTGCCCGGCCAGTTAATAACGCGTCAACAATTGAAGCCACGACCCGTAATTACACTTACACAGCAGTGGACGCCTGGGACTGGCTGATGCGGTTTCGGCAGACCTCAGTATTTGATACGCTCATGTTAAGTATACCATTCTCGTTTGATGCATCATCCTAGATTGTATATTTGTGAGTAGTCTGTCGTTATACAGCAAGGATACCTAATACACAACGTTAGTTGAATTTCAACAATTTCTCCATTTTCATGAATATATGAAATAAATCGTAGCCTAATCAAATGCTACTTAAATTTATCTGATTTCAGCGTATATACGAGGAGTCGACAAGTTGTTTCTCTTCATTCATGATATTCACCTCGGGTTCTTTCTTTATTGGGATCCTGTGACCACGAGGACGAATGACGAAATGGCGTTACAGAAATCGTCTTACAGCTAAAACATTTTTTTGTACAAATTTATCTAATATTATTACTGATTTCTATATAATTCATATAGGATCTTTACATTGAATAAATTATTGCCAGAAATGATGATTTGGTAATTAATGTGTTTTGCTTTGACTGTTGTTCAGTAATTCATAATCTTTAATATTCATAATTTGAGTTATCATATCTTTGAATCTATTGTAGTTTAGATTTACTATATTATTAACTCAACAATGAACTAGTGACGAACCACACTGGTTCCTAGATATATTTGAACTTCTAGAAATACCCTCCTAATGTTGATATTTGAGGCTTTGACTTTAATTAATTAATAATACAGTCTATTCATTATTTTCAAGTGATTATTCATTTAATTAGTTTCCATAGACCCTGGTTCTCTAGTGTCATTCTAATGATCACTATTATTCGTTTTCCCTCTTTTCTCAAAAGTGGGTGGTCCTTCGATTTTTTTAAATACAATAATCAAATAATTGAATATCTGAGTCAAGCCCCAGAAACCCAGCATTAGGCAGCGATGTGGTGGAGGCTGACTCCATACGCAGTTTTAGATGCAGATATGATAGAGCCCAGTAGGGTCAGGAATCTGTACACCAGTTGATTGACAGTTGAGAGGCGGGACCAAAGAGCCAAAGCTCAACCCCCGCAAGCACAATTAGGTGAGTGTTGATGGCGTTGTTGATCTTAGTGTTGGTGTCGTTGATGATCCGACAATGTTGGTCTTAAGGCGTTGGGTAAGACTGGTGGTCTCGGAGGGCAGGCCGGGAGATCTTGGGAAGAGATGCCGTCGTTATCCAGTGATGTGTGGTGAGCTCTGAGGGTCTGAGTGGTGAGCTCTGAGGCTCTGAGTGGTGAGCTCTGAGGGTCTGAGTGGCGAGCTCTGAGGCTCTGAGTGGTGAGCTCTGAGGCTCTGAGTGGTGAGCTCTGAGGCTCTGAGTGGTAGGCTCTGAGTGGTGAGCTCTGAGTGGTGAGCTCTGAGGCTTTGAGTGGTGAGCTCTGAGGCTCTGAGTGGTGAGCTCTGAGTGGTGAGCTTTGAGTCTCTGAGTGGTGAGCACTGAGGCTCTGAGTGTTGAGCTCTGAGTGGTGAGCTCTGAGGCTCTGAGTGGTGAGCTCTGAGTGGTGAGCTTTGAGGGTTTGAGTGGTGAGCTCTGAGTGGTGAGCTCTGAGGGTCTGAGTGGTGAGCTTTGAGGGTTTGAGTGGTGAACTCTGAGGGTCTGAGTGGTGAGCTTTGAGGGTTTGAGTGGTGAGCTCTGAGGGTCTGAGTGGTGAGCTCTGAGGGTCTGAGTGGTGAGCTCTGAACGTCTGAGTGGTGAGCTCTGAGGGCCTGAGTGGCGAGCTCTGAGGGTCTGAGTGGTGAGCTCTGAGGGCCTGAGTGGCGAGCTCTGAGGGTCTGAGTGGGGAGCTCTAAGCGTCTGAGTGGGGAGCTCTAAGGGTCTGAGTGGCGAGCTCTGAGGGTCTGAGTGGCGGGCTCTGAGGGTCTGGATGTTGTCAGGGAAGCGAAGTCTTTATATTGTGTGTTTAAGGTGTTTATTCTTTTATAAATAAGGCTTCCAGGGGGCATAATTGGATGAGAGAGAGAGCTCGTAAGTCCCTTGCAAGAGTGTTGCAACCATTCTGCCTCCCGGGCTCTGTTCGACCTTGTTACAGTGTGGGTTTGAGCCCTTCTTACTGTCTTCCTGTCCCCTTGTTCAATAGTGTCTTGTCAACACAAGCTAACACACATACACACACACAGACAAACACACGCGCGCGCGCACACACACACACACACACACACACACACACACACACACACACACACACACACCTGCTGCACATGTGCGTCTGTCTGCCTACAACCATAGCATTCCTGTGCACTATAGCATTTTAGTTTTCTCTTGTCATGGAAATTTGTTTTTATTTGACAACTATTTGACAATCATGAATTGCTTGGGGTCTTGTAGTACAGTGGTCTACGTTCTCGAGTCATATTTTCACACTCGATGCCTCTGTTATCCTGATAGTAAAGAGGTAAATAAGATTGCACCATAAGAAAGGATATAAGTTCAACTTTGACACAAGCACAAGTCTATAAGCTTCCTGTCCCCGACAACAAGGATTATACATACACGTAAACATGACAGCAATTAACAATATTACTCGGAGCATGAAAATGGGCAGCAAAACACCGAATTACATGCGTGTGTGTAATTACAAAATTACACAATTTCATGAACACCCAAGATGAGAAAGGTCAACAAAAAAAAACAGATGGTTACACAACACACCCTAGCTAAGTAACCCCACCACACCCTGGTTAAGTAACCACAGCACACCCTGGTTAAGTAACCCCACCACACCCTGGTTAAGTAACCACAGCACACCCTGGCTAAGTAACCACAGCACACCCTGGTTAAGTAACCACAGCACACCCTGGTTAAGTAACCACAGCACACCCTGGCTAAGTAACTACACCACACCCTGGCTAAGTTACCCCAGCACACCCTGGTTACCTAACCACACCACACCCTGGCTAAGTAACCACAGCACACCCTGGCTAAGTAACTACACCACACCCTGGCTAAGTTACCCCAGCACATCCTGGTTACCTAACCACACCACACCCTGGCTAAGTAACCACAGCACTCCCTGGCTAAGTAACCCCAGCACACCCTTGCTAAGTAACCACAGCACACCCTGACTAGGTAACCCCAGCACACCCTGGCTAAGTAGCCACAGCACACCCTACTAAGTAATTACAGCACACCCTGGCTAAGTAACCACAGCACACCCTGGCTACGTAACCCCAGCACACCCTGGCTAAGTAACCCCAGCACACCCTGGCTAAGTAATTCCAGCACACCCTGGCTAAGTTACCCCAGCATATCCGGGTTACCTAACCCCAGCACACCCTGGCTAAGTAACCACAGCACACCCTGGCTAAGTAACCACACCACACCCTGGCTAAGTAACCCCACCACACCCTGGCTAAGTAACCACAGCACACCCCTGGCTACGTAACCACAGCACACCCTGGCTAAGTAACCACAGCACACCCTGGCTAAGTAACCACAGCCCACCCTAGCTAAGCAGGGAGCCGGTCGGCCGAGCGGACAGCACGCTGGACTTGTGATCCTGTGGTCCTGGGTTCGATCCCAGGCGCCGGCGAGAAACAATGGGCAGAGTTTCTTTCACCCTATGCCCCTGTTACCTAGCAGTAAAATAGGTACCTGGGTGTTAGTCAGCTGTCACGGGCTGCTTCTTGGGGGTGGAGGCCTGGTCGAGGACCGGGCCGCGGGGACACTAAAAAAGCTCCGAAATCATCTCAAGATAACCTCAAGAAGTAACCCCAGCGCACCCCGGCTAAGTTACCACAGCACACCCTGACTAAGTAACCACACCACACCCTGGCTAGGTAACCACACCACACCCTGACTAAGTAACCATACCACACCCTGGCTAAGTAACCACAGCCCACCCTATCTAAGTAACCCCAGCACACCCCGGCTAAGTAACCACAGCACACCCTGGCTAAGTAACAACACCACACCCTGGCTAAGTAACCACACCACACCCTGGGTAAATAACCACACCACACCCTGGCTAGGTAACCACAGCACACCCTGGCTAAGTAACCACACCACACCCTGGCTAAGTAACCACACCACACCCTGGCTAAGTAACCACACCACACCCTGGCTAAGTAGCCACACCACTCCCTGGCTAAGTAACCACAGCACACCCTGGCTAGGTAACCACAGCACACCCTGGCTAAGTAACCACACCACACCCTGGCTAAGTAATTACACCACACCCTGGCTAAGTAACCACAGCACACCCTGGCTAGGTAACCACAGCACACCCTGGCTAAGTAACCACACCACACCCTGGCTAAGTAGCCACACCACTCCCTGGCTAAGTAACCACAGCACACCCTGGCTAAGTAACCACAGCACACCCTGGCTAGGTAACCACACCACACCCTGTCTTAGTAACCACAGCACACCCTGGCTAAGTATCCACACCACACCCTGGCTAAGTAGCCACACCACTCCCTGGCTAAGTAGCCACACCACTCCCTGGCTAAGTAACCCCAGCACACCCTGGCTAAGTAACCACACCACACCCTGGCTAAGTAACCACACCACACCCTGGCTAAGTAACCCCAGCACACCCTGGCTAAGTAACCACACCACACTCTCGCTAAGTAACCACAGCACACCCTGGCTAAGTAACCACAGCACACCTTACTAGGTAACCACTGTACACCCTGGCTAAGTAACCACAGCACACCCTGGCTAAGTAACCCCAGCACACCCTGGCTAAGTAAACCCAGCACACCCTGGCTAAGTAAACCCAGCACACCTTACTAGGTAACCACTGTACACCCTGGCTAAGTAACCACAGCACACCCTGACTAGGTAACCAGAGCACACCCTGGCTAAGTAGCCACAGCACACCCTGCTAAGTAATTACAGCACACCCTGGCTACGTAACCACACCACACCCTGGCTAAGTAACCCCAGCACACTCTCGCTAAGTAACCACAGCACACCCTGCTAAGTAATTACAGCACACCCTGCTAAGTAATTACAGCACACCCTGGCTAAGTAACCACACCACACCCTGGCTAAGTAACCCCAGCACACTCTCGCTAAGTAACCACAGCACACCCTGCTAAGTAATTACAGCACTCCCTGGCTAAGTAACCCCAGCACACCCTGGCTAAGTAACCCCAGCACACCTTACTAGGTAACCACTGTACACCCTGGCTAAGTAACCACAGCACACCCTGGCTAAGTAACCACACCACACCCTGGCAAAGTAACCACACAACACCCTGGTTAAGTAACCCCAGCACACCCTGGCTAAGTAGCCACAGCACACCCTGCTAAGTAACTACACCACACCCTGGCTAAGTAACCACAGCACACCCTGACTAGGTAACCCCAGCACACCCTGGCTAAGTAGCCACAGCACACCCTGCTAAGTAATTACAGCACACCCTGGCTAAGTAACCACACCACACCCTGGCTAAGTAACCACAGCACACCCTGACTAGGTAACCCCAGCACACCCTGGCTAAGTAGCCACAGCACACCCTGCTAAGTAATTACAGCACACCCTGGCTAAGTAACCACACCACACCCTGGCTAAGTAACCACACCACACCCTGGCTAAGTAACCCCAGCACACTCTCGCTAAGTAACCACAGCACACCCTGCTAAGTAATTACAGCACACCCTGGCTAAGTAACCCCAGCACACCCTGGCTAAGTAACCCCAGCACACCTTACTAGGTAACCACTGTACACCCTGGCTAAGTAACCACAGCACACCCTGGCTAAGTAACCACACCACACCCTGGCTAAGTAACAACACAACACCCTGGTTAAGTAACCCCAGCACACCTTACTAGGTAACCACTGTACACCCTGGCTAAGTAACCACAGCACACCCTGGCTAAGTAACCACACCACACCCTGGCTAAGTAACCACACAACACCCTGGTTAAGTAACCCCAGCACACCTTACTAGGTAACCACTGTACACCCTGGCTAAGTAACCACAGCACACCCTGGCTAAGTAACCACACCACACCCTGGCTAATTAACCACAGCACACCCTGGCTAAGTAACCACAGCACACCCTGACTAGGTAACCCCAGCACACCCTGGCTAAGTAGCCACAGCACACCCTGCTAAGTAATTACAGCACACCCTGGCTACGTAACCACACCACACCCTGGCTAAGTAACCCCAGCACACTCTCGCTAAGTAACCACAGCACACCCTGCTAAGTAATTACAGCACACCCTGCTAAGTAATTACAGCACACCCTGGCTAAGTAACCACACCACACCCTGGCTAAGTAACCCCAGCACACTCTCGCTAAGTAACCACAGCACACCCTGTTAAGTAATTACAGCACACCCTGGCTAAGTAACCCCAGCACACCCTGGCTAAGTAACCCCAGCACACCTTACTAGGTAACCACTGTACACCCTGGCTAAGTAACCACAGCACACCCTGGCTAAGTAACCACACCACACCCTGGCAAAGTAACCACACAACACCCTGGTTAAGTAACCCCAGCACACTCTGGCTAAGTAGCCACAGCACACCCTGCTAAGTAACTACACCACACCCTGGCTAAGTAACCACAGCACACCCTGACTAGGTAACCCCAGCACACCCTGGCTAAGTAGCCACAGCACACCCTGCTAAGTAATTACAGCACACCCTGGCTAAGTAACCACACCACACCCTGGCTAAGTAACCACAGCACACCCTGACTAGGTAACCCCAGCACACCCTGGCTAAGTAGCCACAGCACACCCTGCTAAGTAATTACAGCACACCCTGGCTAAGTAACCACACCACACCCTGGCTAAGTAACCACACCACACCCTGGCTAAGTAACCCCAGCACACTCTCGCTAAGTAACCACAGCACACCCTGCTAAGTAATTACAGCACACCCTGGCTAAGTAACCCCAGC